GGGGGGATAAAAAATGGGGTTTTCGGCCTTTTTTTCTTTTTTTTTTGGGAAAAATTTAATTTTTTCCCAAAAAAAAAAAAAAAAAAAAAAAAAAAAAAGAGAGAGAAAGAGACACTTGATGGGGAGACATTTAAAGACAATAAAGGAGAAGAAAAGCATCGAGTCAGAAGTAATCTTGATAATGGGGGAGCAGAAAATTATTCCCAGGGGAGACCAAGCATAAGAAAGTGTAATCCAAGTTATCTTCACTCCAAGGTAACGCTGTTATCTGTCCCAAGCAAGTTAATAACTTCCCTTCACTTGCTTCGGAGGTGAAGTATGGCCCCCTTTCTCTGTGTTATCATCAGGGCACATCACTCATTCAGCTCATGCCCTCCGCTCTCTCCTGCAAGTTTTTCCTCTGTATTTCGCTGCCTTATCTGTCCTCCACACTGTGTGCTCACTTCAAATTCCTTATCCGCTGCTTTTTTGGTCAAAGACCCTGCAGTGCTGCAATTCGCTTTTCACCGATTTATTTGCGTTCCTCTTAGAATTAATGACAATGTGGCTGTATAAACCAAGGTTATGTTTGTTTGAGCGTTAGAAAGGCCCACTTCCCGGGCTTGTTGCTTCACCGTCGTCTACTAATGATCGATTCTCTGGAATTTGGCCCGAGTTCGGGCCAGGTGAAGCCAGGACAGTGGGCAGTGAGTGTTGGGGGGGGAGAGGGGGGGGGGGGGGGGTTGGAGAAAGGGAAAAGTTTTCTTGGAAATGGCAACTAAAACAAAACCCCAGCAGACCAAAATTACGCTGCAGAGAATCTGTCTCTCTTCCTGCCTGGCCAACTAGAATGAGCTTCCAGCTTCACCAGAGAGAGAGAGATGTCTGCAATTCCCTCCTGAACCACCTACTTCCTCAGATAAACGGAAGTACGAATAAATGAGTGGAAAATGCATCATCTACTTGTGAGAGAGTACGACTGTGCACCAGAATGTCAATTTGTACTTGCCAGAGGCATGTTTAGAACAATTTTCTGTAATTTAGTGGTTGTATCTTAAATGGCTTGGTTATTATAGCCTAATAAGTCATATTTACCTGCAAGAGATTGCTTAGTTACTTTGATTTGACGAAATGTCATAGTTTATTAGTCAACGTTACGTCTGCGTTATACAGAAGGTTTAATTATTTTTATGACTGTCTATAATTTGTAGAAATGGTTAACTACCAGGAGAATTGAACAATTTAAATAAATGGGTACGAAACGGCTTGTTTACAGTTGTTTTTGGTGCTTTTCCCCCCCTTTTATTTACACTTTGAGTCCTAATTTGTCACCACAGTTTATTTTTAAAACACAGATGCACATAACAAATGTGTGAATGTCTGTTTTTAACAATGAATGGAAAAAAAAAAACAAACACAACTAATGGCTGTTGTTGGCTGAAAACATAAAAACATTTTTTTCCCCCTTAATCTCAGGTAAATTACAGCTACGAAAGACCCAGATGCTCTTTATTTGACAAATGGTAAGCTTTGGTTGCTTATAGTTAGGAGGTTGGTCGACACTTATGACAAAACATTGGTTACACAGAAACTTGTTTAAGAAATGCTTCTTACAACAAAACCCCAAAAAGAATTATGGCGGTCAGGCCTGCGGTTACCGTCAAAATGTGTCTTCTGTGAGTTATTGCTCAGTAAATTGTTCTCTGTAAAACATCATAATTTAATTTCGTGTAAAAAAAAAAAAAAAAAAAAACCTTCTAATACCATCTGTTAGGCTGCAGCCTTGCAGTTTGCCAAGGTAAATGTAACCTGTGATGTTAACCTGCTTGGGTTTCTTGTGGTGGGCTAGTTTAGCGTTCGTGACTGCGATGAGAACCATATGTTGCTTTGAAGACGCTGAGAACGAACGGGTCGTTTTGTTACTGTAGTGACAAACTTAAACATCCACTATTAAATCAGTGGCCAGGCTGTTTCCTATAATAAGAGATCGTAAAACACATTTTACACACAGCTACAGAGGAGCTGGGTCTGAAACATTATTACTGACCTATTTTTTTATTTATTTTTTTATTTTTAAAGCACACCTGAATGAGCAATAATCAATGTGTGACTACTTTTTTTTTTTTTTTTTTTCCCCACTTTTCGTTAGGTTCACACAAAGTTTCACTGCCGGCAAGCCCACACTCCTGGATCAGACACCTCCTGCCTCTGCTTTTCATACGATGGCGTCACTGTCGCTTCCCGTGGAGGTATGGAAAACGCCGCGGCTGTCAGAGCCCCCGGCCAGCTACAGCCATTGGCATCATAATATGCAACCTTTAGTTAATAAAAACAAAGGATTTTAGGCAAATTAAGTGCTTTTCCCTCCTTTAGTAGGCAAATAAACAAAGACCCATCACTAACAAAACACGGAAATCTTACAAGAGGTGGATAAACACTAAAAGACTTTGCTTTGTTGGTATGTAATCTCTTTAAGAGGTTGCTAACACAAACATAAACAAAAATAACTGAGGAAGGAAGAGTCCTTCCTTCAACATGATTATGTAATGTAAATGAGCGATAACTATTTACTCAGGAAAACAAGTGCCACTTCCATAATAACATATAGAACTCAAAGTAAAGTTTGCCTTCATCTTCAGGCGACGACACGCTGAAGATCTGGGACATACGCAACTTCAGGAAGCCCGTAAACGAAGCTAACAGGCTGACCAACTACTTCTCCATGTGAGTCATCTCCGCTTTTATAGACTGCTTGTTTTCAGTTCTTGGTATGAGTGCATCGTGTGCAGATTCTAAATATTTGTATGTGTGACTTTCCCTTCCAGGACTGACTGCTGTTTTAGTCCCGATGACAGGCTTGTTGTGACAGGGACCTCCGTGAAGAAGGAGGAGGGAAATGGGAAGCTGGTTTTCTTCGACAGAGCTTCTTTTCAGAAGGTCTATGAGATAGAGGTCACCAACGCTGTAAGTTCTGCCGCAGCACACTGGAGGCTTTCAGCACAGCAATTGTGTAAAGACTTTTACAAATGAGAATGAGTGAAACACTTGTTTTAATTATTAACTTTGACTATACTTTTATTAGCTGCAAATGTGGCTGACTTCATTTAGATACCAACAGGTTTCCTTCACAGTGTGGAGTTTAATTTTCAGTATTTTCCAGGTGTAGATAAGTACAGATAATGAAAATATGAGTAAGGAAGTATATCTTTATTTTTGTTGCCCTTTCTGTTGGTCGTCCTTCTTCATATACTTTCTTTGATTCTGCCCTTCTATTATGTTCTTCCCTTTTTCCTTCATTACTTTATTCCTTTTGTCTTTTTTTTCTTCCTCACTTTTCTTTCTCACGCTCTTTTTTTCTTTTCTTTCTTCCTTGTGCCCTTACTACGAATGTATTTGTGTCTTTGTCTCCTTGTACCCTACCACTATTTCCTCTTCTCTTCCTCTCATTTGTCTTTCTTTTCTTATTACCTTTTTTCCTTCCTTTATGCCTTTTGTAGATCCTAAGTTTCCTTCTTTTTTTTCTCCTATTCCCTGCTTCTCTTTGCTTCCCCGCTTCTTTCCTACCTTTTTCTGTGGGCTTTTTTTGCTTTTCATTATCTTTCCTTAATTTTCTTTGTGTCTTCTTCTTGCCATTTGTTCCTACCTCTTCTTTGTGTCTTTTCTCCGTTTCTTTCTTTGTCTCCCTTCCTTCTGTGTTCTTTCTTTCCAGTTTCTGGTCGCTGCTGAAACCTTATGTAAACCATGTCCACTGTACACATATCCCACATAAATTCATAGTGAATGTTTGTGTTTTAAAGTGAACAGAGGACTAAAAACTCTGGATATGTATGAAATGTTTGCAGAAAAATGGGACAGAGAGTATTTATACTACTTCAAATATAAATATTTAGATGGTAATTTAAGTTCTTATTTAGTTTTTACACTTTCTGTAGAGCCGCCTTATTTGTACATGATTTTGGAGGACAAACTGTGATATTGTTCCACCTCCAAGCTCTTTTCTAAGGGGAATGCACCTTTGAAACATGTTGTTGTGTAAAAGTTGCATGTCTCATATAATTACTGTGTCATATTGATATACTGCAAAAAACTTTATTACCTTCAAAAGTCCATTTTATAACATTTGGACAACTACCTTGCAGCAGAAGAGCTACTTCTGCACAGAGGTGGGCATGGGAGCTAAAAAGAGTAGCTTTACGCCAGTGTATTTTTACACAAGTACAAGAGTTTACATTCAAAGAATTACTAAACTATGTGTAAATAAAAAAAAAAACACTACTCAAGTATTGAATGATCTGATTTAATTTGTGCAAAATGTAATTAGACAAAAATATAATGTTATAGTTACAAATATGTTTAACTCAACTGACTCAGTTGTAATCTGTAAAAATAAAACAAAGCAAACAAAAGAACTAGTAAGTAAAATACATAAAAAATGTCACATTTCCCGACATAAATCTTTGGTAGATCATTTGAATGTTGGAACAGTGCAAAGTATTTTCAGTGATATATATATATAAACCGTTTACTGTACGTGAACATGACCTCCAAATTACACGGTAGGCTCAGCAGATAAAGAATAATATTAGAACAATCAAGCTTGTGTATGAACACGAAGTCTCTTATTAACAAAAGCTTTAGATATTTGTCTACAAGCGGTGCAATTTTTGCTTAAAACATATTTGTTCTTCACTTACTGATGTAACTAGAGATGGGTGGAATAACCTAAAATTGCACTGCAACAGCTGCAGTTCTTCAAAAATATTACTCAGTCAAAAGTAAACTTAGATTTTTTTTTTTATATTTATTTTGCCAAAACGTAACTGAAACTGTGCAGGAAGTAGAAGGACAGACAGCAGAAGACTGGGGTTCCTCTGAGGAATCCTCCATCTTCTTATTTGCCACATCTGGAGATTCACTTGTGTCAAAAAAAAAAGCTTATCCCGTTATCCTGATTCACTTCTCTGTTTTCCCAGCAGAGAAGTTTCCTCAGACACTCCATGTGTGGGCCTGCTTCACATTTAAGGGAGTTGGCTTACTCACATTTTACCCAAGACCACTTCTATGAATAGAAGTGGAGTTAATATTAGTATTTCATTGAGTTTAAGGTTTTTATGTATTGAGGAGATTTCACCAGATTTCTGAAAACATCTCCGAAATGTACCACTTCATCCATGGAGGACTTTGGGCATTTCTTGCCAAGCACGTCTGATTTTATAATTTTCCAAAACTTCTGAGATTTTCCTGATAATTTTAAAGGTCGTCTTCCAAATTTTAGGGGATATCCTACTTCTATCATTGGGAATTTTTGCTTTTGATCATGAAAAATTATCCTTTTTTGACTTTTCATTATTGGAGAATGTCCAAGTTTTTCTTGTCAATGTGCAAAATTAATGTAGAAAGTTCAGGATTTTTTGGCAAAATATTTGATTTTCTTTGGCTTTGGATAATATTGTCCTTTAAGCCTAAAACATATTTTAAAGGAGTCATTCCGCTCAAAATGGAAAAACAGTTTTTCCCCCTTTCAGTCTTAACATTGTGTGGTAGGAACTACGCATCTCCCTTTATAAAATTATGTGTCTCAATCTGGTTGTGTTTTGGTAACAAATTAAATTTTCCTCCATTTTCACATAAAAAGCAAGTCTTGCAGCATTTGGGGAAAACGTTGGGCTAAGGAGGAACATCTTAAAATAGCCAGAGGCGAACTTTGTGGGAATAAAATAAAGAGAGAAAGGATCTCATTCCACCGTTTTGCTCAAAACTGTTGGCAGGAAAGATGTGAAGCTCTTAAACGTGCTGAGTGTGTTAGAAATGCAATTATCTGCGGTAACAATCATCATGTTCCACACACGGTAGCAAATGGCGTGCTTGAGAATTGCGTTTCATGGAGTCAGCCAGCCATAGGTGTCGAACGTCAAACTGCAGTCCAGAGCTGCTGCTGCTGCTGCTGCCTACTATAGAAACATGTGTCCCGTCGCATCCTGCGTCTGATCTCTCTGTAGCCATAACACCACGGTTTGACTGCGTTAATGTCTTCAGCAGTAACTGTCTCCTCCGGGGCCAGAGCAAGAAATACACACTCAGACGGATTAAATAAACAAGTTGAAGGTGTCATTTGGGATGCTACAAACCTTTGCATGTTGTCCATGCTAAGCACACCCATGCGAAGCCAAACTTCTGATGCAGCACTTTAGCGCTCGGATGTCAAAACAAGTGAAAATGATCAAGGTTTAAATGTAAGCTTCCAAGTCTGCTTAAACTTAACAGTGATAGTAGCACGATTCTGTCAGTGCAGCTATCTGAAAATATCGTGTTATTTCTTCTGATGGCCAAAAAGAAATACTAAAAATAGCAGCTTTAAACTTCAACACAGACGGTGGAGAGGAAGTGCCTTTGCCGAGGCAGTAATCTGTCTTGCGATGACTCGTTCCGGGATTGTTTGTGTGACTGTTTCTCAAAATGAAGCGCGTATTTTCAGTTCCTGTGTTGATGATCTCGGGCTCTGTAATTGTCTCCTTCGCAAAGTTCAGAGCTCAAGATGCAACTTTTTTTTTTGTTGCTTGGTCATAATTTTGACTTTGTAAAAGAAAATAAAAACAAAAAGTTCTTTCCTTTACAAACCACATATCCCATACGCATGAAAATCCAGAGACCAAGCATTCCCTGTTGTTGATTTACGTTCTTCACAGAGTCTGTTTGCACCCAGATTCAGTCTGGGAAGCACCAGACAAAGGACACACTTTGGGTCAAAGAGTGTATTTAGCTCGCCACAACTCTGCTCCCTTGCATCACTCTGTGGACGTTTGTCTTCCCTTTCACTCTACTGAGGGGAGGGTAAACATTTGGAAGTGATTTTTTTCCATTGCCCCTTTCACTTGTTCTGCTGCCCGGCTGTGTGAAATGGTCTCTAAGCTGCAGCTTGGTTTCTCTTGAAAGTTGATGAAAAACGTCTTTCCTTCTGCTTAACGTGCGTGTTGTGATGAACTCCTGCAGACTCTCACTGAGCAGACAGCGGATGATGTGCAGGATTTCTGCAGGCCGGGTCTTAAAAAGTCCTTAGAAAGTCTTAAATGACTGTTTTATCATAAAGTAAAGAATTTGTCGCTGTGTAGACGAGTTTAGTTTTACTAAATAAATAAAAAAAAAACATCTAATGCATAGTTTTAGTTTTCCTATTACTTAATTAATCAACTTTCACTGCACACAGTCTTAAAAGGCATTTAGTCACCATTTTAAATTAGGATGTTTCATCATTAACTTCACTTTCTATTGACTTCTGCCCCGCAAAATTATATTTATTTGTTCACTAGCAAAACAAGACACCAGTGCAGCAAACCGCTCTGTAGCAATCAATAGGAATTAAGCTCCATACATCCAGCAAACCCGCCAAAATATTTGGCTCCTAAAAGCAATTTACCGTATGTTTATGTTTAACCAGCTAAAACAAAACCATTTTTTGTTAAATGATCCACTGCCAGCTTCTTCATCATGCCAAAGCGTATCTTTAACAAGGTTTGGCTTGACAACAAGGATCTCAATGGAGCACTTTGAAGGTTTTGCCACGTTGGTCTAAATCGCTACAGCTAAAAACAAATCAAATTATTGACAGTTACATTTTTCACTTGCTTAAGCGATACAACATACAAATATAACAACTGCTTAAGCTATTGTATGCAACCTGTAAGCCAAGTGACTTGCAATAGCTTTGGGTTATTCATCAAAATTCACGAAGCCCTTAAATTTAAATTATGGTCATTTTACAATGATAAGTCAGCATGTTTAATGTGAGATTCTATTAAAAGGTTACAAGCAGTCCAATATTTACTAATTAACAAATTCTTGTCTTCATCTAGGACCAATCTTGTTTTATTGGTTGTGGAGCCCGAAGCATCGTAAAACAACTCCCTTCCCTAAAAATGTCCTCTGGTTTATGTGAGCATTATTTTAAGAACCTTTTTAAACCACTTTTAGGTTTCCATTGGTTACACTGATTATTATTCAGATGGGAAATAAAGAGCCGTTGTGGGACTGAAGAGCCAGTGTGCCACAGAACACCGGAAGCATTTGTGGTTAGTTGTGCGATATAACAGTAAACGATTTAAAAAGAATAATAATAATAAAAAAAAACAACTAAGTATTTATACTAAAAGTTTCTGAGTGAGTTATCTAAAACAGCTAAGATATTAACTTTACTAGAACCTCATTTAAAAAAAAAAAAACATTGAATTATTGCTTTTATCTTTATGAAACTCACATTCAGCTGATTTGTTATTTACTAACGACAAAAGTATTTAAAACTTCACTTAAGTTGATGCAAATATTTTTTTTCAGGACGCCGTTGTTGTATTCCATTGGTTTTATTTACACCTGAACTATTAAGACCTTGTTTCATCTCTCAACCTGTTTTGTACAGTTAAAGACAAAGTACTGATGTGTTTCATATTTATGTTTTGGAAATTTGAGAGTAAGGGTAAATTCCTGCTCACTAGAGGCAGCGTTTAAATTGAGATTTCAAAAATCTGCTCATCCTCACACAAACCTTAAAGTCAGCGAAATATTAAGTCGATTTAAATGAGCAACAGTGTTGTAGATCCGCCCTGCTTAACTGTAGCTTTTACTTCTTCCCTACATGCTCTGTACGCCATTGTTTCTATAGAAATAAAGGGAGGCTTTCATCTGAGTGAGCTTATATTTCCGCCAAGAGCATAAAAAGGGTGAGGCAGACAGAAAGACGTTGCCAGTTGTTCAAGTAGCATTGTTTCTGCCTTCTTGGACAGTAGCTCTCACAGCGTGGGGCTTAAATGGTAAACATTTGGTTTTCCTTTCTCCTGCAGGTTTAAATTGGCCTCCCGACCAGTGCTGAACAAGGATTGTAGCATGCTGCCGGGTCTCATTACTGCTGCCTGGTTTTATTTCATAATTGGCATATATATGTTGTGAAAGTGGGTGGCAGATCACCCATCTTTGTTCAGTCCTCTGGCATTTTAATTTAGAAGTCTGAATCTTGCTGCTGGAGAGCACACTGATTAAACGTGTCTTCTTCCATGATGCAACTCTGCAAACACAAAGTGTAAACAGGGACTCCTGGAGTATAAACATGCTTCTCTGAATTTCTGGAAAGAAGTCCAACAATTAAGCCGGGCCGAGCAGGGCTTGGCTACGCGTGCGCGTGCGTGTGTGCGTGTGTCTGTGTGTCTGTGTGTCTGTGCTAGTTTTTGTGCTTACAGATGTGGTGCGGGCTCCACTCAGCTGGGTCTGTTGCAGTTCTGCTTCTATGAAACTCGTTGACAGAGTGATTTGTTTGGGTCTGTGGAGACCGTTCAGTGAACTCAGATGGACTTGAGTTTATGGTACCTGGCTGGATATCTGGGATTTACGATTACTACAGGCTGATCTGCCTGCGCTGCTAACCTGGATGCTTTGAATGCACCTGCGACCAGACCTCGGACTTTGTTCCTCACTGTTGCTCCAATGAGTCGACTGTCACTGTTGGCGCAGCTTTTTTTACAGGCCAATTTATAACCCATTACACCTCGTCACCGGAGCACGCCCAGAATGTCTGGATTTCAGCTCATAATGCTGACTTACATGCCATAACACCATTTCAACAAACTTTTATTGAGGATCATATTGTATTCCCATTGAACTTTTTCCATATGTTATCGTTTTACAGCATCAAACTTTGATGGAAGAAAAATTCAATATTTAATTTTTTTTTTTTTGTTTTACTTTTTGTTTTAGTTTTCCTTTTTATTTGAAAAGTACTCACACCCTTTAATTGAATCTTGTTCAACCAGTCTTCTTCAGAAATCACAGAATTAGCAAAGTCCACCTGTGTAGCTGCAGACCTTCTGGAAAATGTCTGACTGCTGGAAACTTTGGTCGCTGTTTCAAATCTTTTCCTACCTGTAATAGGCTTCCAGTATTGCTGAATTTAGATTTCGTCTAAGCAGAGTACATCCTTCTGCACGTCATTCTTGTCTACTACCTTTTTTTTTTTTTTTTTTTAAATCTAACTTTAAATGGGACTTCCTTTTGTTTCTTGTATTGTTTTTATTTGGCATCCCCTTTTCCACTCTTCCATAAAAGTGGACGAGTGGTATGGATTAAAACAAATCCATACCACACTTTTAGATTTAACGTTGAACCATGTGTCTTGTATTTTCATGCCGCTTCATAAAGATGCACTACTTTGAGTTTGATCTCCTAAATCCCAGTGAAATAGAATCAAATTTATTTTCGCATGACAAAATGTGAAAAGACTACTGGGTGTGCGTTCGTCTTGAGGTCATTTTAAGCTACTGGTATTTTATTGAAACCATGAGGCTCATTTCATTTAAAAGCCTTTTCTGGGTCGTTCTTGCTGATCTGGTCCAGCAGATTAACCTTCATCTGGCTGCAGAGTTAAACGACACTGTGACCTCCTGACATGATGGCGTTGATGTAAAGTGATCAACCATAACATTACAACAACTTCTCTTTAAATCACAGTATTCCTGTGAAATAAAAAGATTTAATCAGCGTATGTCGATTACCGGTTCCACCAAATAAGAAACAATCACCTGTAATGCACGGTACGAGTTCCCCAAATGCTAAATTAGGGGAAAGAAGTGAACCAGAAATGTAGTTTTTCCTGGTCAAATGTCTGTGCTGCTTTGATTGTGCGGGCATGCTTTATTTTGCATCTACGATCGCTCCTCTGGCGTCCTGATGGGAAGCTGAACAGCTGGACGTTAAGCAGCTTTCACTGTACGCTTGGTCTTACCCAGCCCCCCGGCCCACAAAACTCCTTTAGATGCCCCCCCAGTCAGATCACAGGGACATTTTAAGTGAGTGGGGAAAAATGAGGCGCTTCTGGAGTTTTTTTTTTTTTTCAGATGCGCTGCAGCTCACATCAGAATGAGCTGAAGATCTCCATCGCTGTCAAGCAGCTGTTCTTATGTCGCTCCCTCTCTATGCCGCTCTCTCAAACAAACACACAGAGAGAGTTGCACGCGCCCGTCTCTGGATGAATGTGGTCACATTCGCCTATTGGCACCAGGCCATCTGTCGCACGCAGACGGCGAGATCCAGCCCTCATCCCACCAACCAAATATAGTCAACTAGAGCAGCAGAGCACACTGGGACTTCTCCTCACTGTACCTGGGCTGCACACTTTCACTACTGCGGGGAATAAAATACGATTGTTACCTTCTGTTGTCTAAGTAGGGGGAACACGAGCCTTTCAGAAACCAAAAGAATGACGCGGTCTTCCATTTTACATCCTTCTTAAATACTTTAAAAAAAAAAAACATAGAATAAAAATTGAACTGATGTAAATAATTTTGTGTGTGTGTTTGATGCAGAGTGTTGTTCGCTGCCTGTGGCATCCCAAACTGAACCAGATCATGGTGGGTACTGGGAACGGACTGGCTAAGGTGTACTACGATCCAGTTAAAAGTCACAGGTATGTTCAGGCGAACCTCCATTAGCAACAAACATACTTCAAAAGTTTGCTTATTTGTTGTTTTAGTTGTTACTATTAAAATAATGCTAATAAAAATAAAACGGTATGCAGGGATTCCTAAGTATTAATCTGCAGAAACCAATGAAAAGAGTTGATTGAGTAATTAAAAAAGAAGCTTGATTGATTGTGTCCGATATTTAAAAAGAAAAAAAAAAAGACTTTTAACTGTACTCTGGATTTCTCCGACAGTGTAAGAACACGACATTTAACCCCAGTATTTCAATCTTTTTAGTGTTTTAATCGATCTCCATGTTTAAATGGTACAATAAGATTCGGTTTAGAAAAATGCATCTACTGTTCAATATGCTGCAAATCGCCGCTCAGCCATTGTGCTCACAATCTTTTTTTTGTTTTCCTCCAGAGGTGCCAAGCTGTGTGTGGTAAAGAGCAAGCGGAAAGAGAAACACGCCGAGACGCTAACGCAGGATTACATCATCACGCGTAAGTTCTTCCGTGTTTTTACGGGACGAAATTAGGAAACACTGGGCTTTGTTTTCACACATGCCTCTCAGCAACAACGTCCCATGCTTCTCTCTCTCAATCCGTCTTGCACGGTGGTCAGATTAAAGTTCATCTTTTAAAGCCCTTGTTGCGACTGAGCACTGTGGTCTGCCTACGATTTGGCTACTGTAAATATAAATAATCCCAGAAACCTTTTTCGAAGATTTGACAAGCACAGCCTGTTTCTCGTCAGGCCGGCTCTAGCGCTGCCTCCCGCACTCGGATATTCAGACGAACTCCATCTGACGCCCGCGGGGCTTTTCGGATGGAGCGGCAGCTTGTTCTGGACGTTCACCCCTCTCCATTAGCTGATGGATTTGGGCGTGGATTATTGAATCGATAGCCACGCGACCGCCGTGTACTTTCCTGTCACGCAGGAATCATGAGAGGAATGACCTCCTCTCTCGCCCTTGCCGGCGTGATCGTCTGCCGGTTTCGCCGCACGCACTCCCCTCTCGCAGTCGTAACACCGGCACATGAGGCTGTCATCTCTTTTGTGCGTGCCTCCCACCTCCTCCGACCCCGGACAACATTTACCTTTTGGTCTGCTTCAGCCTTTTCAGACGCGTCATGTGAGCTCATCGTCGTGCCAACGGCGGTGTAAAGCAGCCGAGCATTTCGCTGCTCCGAGTGGCGAGTGACGCACTTGATGCCTTGGCACTGGAAAATTAGACGGGACAGGAAGCAAGTGACGGCCCATTGAGAAAAGCGAGGGAATCTGTTAACAGTAACCTTTTTGCTTAATGTAGCATGGCGAAGAATTAACAGTGAGCGGCGACAGAAGCTCCTGAATGGAAAATCACTTTATCCTAGCTCTTCACTAAAGTGTCTCCTTGTAACCCCCGAGGATGAGAGCAGAGCATACACCCTTCCTGAAACACGCGCTCAGATAGCGTCGCCGAACCTACTCGGAGTGCACTCACTCACACCTAATCGCGCACACGGGTCACCCACGCGCTCCTGGATGGGAAGCCTTTGTTTTGGCGCCGTTCAGAAACGCCTAAGGTCAAACGGAGTGGCTTGCCTCCTGAAAATGTTGCCGTAAATTACACCAGGAGGCGGCTGAAGATTTAAGAGTTACGATTGGTTCTTGTGGTTTTGTCCGCTGGGGCCATGTGACTGTTAGCCGCCCGGACTCACATTTGTTTGTTTACTCTCTCCAGCTCACGCTCTGCCCATGTTCCGAGAGGCCCGACAGCGGAGCACAAGGAAACAGCTGGAGAAGGACAGACTGGACCCGAAGAAATCCCACAAACCCGAGCCGCCTGTATCTGGACCAGGTAACATATTATATATATATGTATATATACATATATATATATATATATATATATATATATATTAAAATAAAAAAAAAAAAACATGTCAGCTGAAAACAGTGAAGTGCAGCTTCATTTTGCAGCTGCTCTCAAGCGTATGAAATATCAAGTTTGTAACTGGACAGATGATCTGTTTGTCTTAGGCAGATGTGTGAGGCTCCAGTTGGTGTAACACAGTCCAGCCCATGTGGCCTGGCAACTGGCCTCTCAAGCATCCTGGCCATTTGCCAGATATGGCTAACTCTTGCAGCGAAAATAATGCAGGAAAACCATAATTGTTGTATTGAAATGTAAAAATGCTAATTTTTAAAAACTCCCAACAAACCACAGACGACATTTCTCTCGTCTCCAGGCTCACTGCTGCCGAGTTATGCTGTGCAGTTTCTCTGTTTTGACCGCAGCTTTGGGAACTCGTGAGCTGTAAATGCTTACATATCAGGCACAAACAAAAATAGTCCAACAATAAAATAAGATGAGCTAATTTATGCATAACTAATCCAGCGGGTTCTAAGTTGGAGTCGCCTACCTACTGGTCATGACCAGAAAACGTCCAGATTAATTTAGAAAGTATTTTTAGAAATTTAACTTAAAACAAAAAAATATATATATAAATATTACATTAAAAAGTTTGTGTTTCTTAAAACTTAAAACAAAGTGATAAATAGCAATAAAGGAACTTGGATATTTAAAATCTGATTGAAAGTTTCATGATGCGATTTACGTACTTTTTAATCTTACTGTTTTTTTTTTCTTTTTGTTTTTTGTTTTTGTCTCTTGTTTTTCGGGTTTTTGTTTCTTTTTTTTTTTACTTTTCTTGTCTGGGTTTAATTGTTGATCTTGTGTATTCAGTAAATACTTGTTACACTAACGCTGCGACGAGTGGAAATGACTTATTTGTAACGAACGTTGTTTTGAATTTCTGTGATCGTACTTGGAGTGTTGATTGACTAACGGCCTTTATTATTACGAGTGTATCTGTGTGTTTCAGATCGAACAAACTATAAACTAAACTTGGCGAAGGTGACTCCAGTTTGGCTCTGAACAAACTGGACTCAACCGCAAAAAGCCCAAAGAAGATTCATCCTTTTTGGGGGCATAAGGGTTGATAATGGCTTATTTCAGCTTTATTTTAACACATTGAAAAATAACAAAAAATAAATAAATAAATAAAAAGGGGAATTCAGCAGATGTTGCAATAACCTAGTGAAAATCCAAGTGTATTTGTTTCCCACAAACCACACTAAGCTTAAGCAGTCTTGTAAAAAAGGAAAAACAGTCTTGTTAACCATGTTTTATGAAACCGATGCCACAAGAAGGATTAGTTGTTCTTTATTTATCATTCCAGGTTTTTATGATTAAACAAGTTTTTTTTCTTTGTTTTCTGTTACTGCATCCTGTTTTGTCTTCGTTCCGTTACGGCTGTGTATTAACCTTCCCGCGGTCTTAGCGCGACGCTCAGGAGGAGCGCGACAGACGTCATGGGGAAGGGGTGGTGGGGGCGTTGTCCCGTCAAACCGTTGGTTTCCGGGAAAAAAAAATACTCGTAAAAGCACACGCTGGGTCAGCGCGACCTGTCCGGACCGCGCACAGACTAAAGAACTCACGGGTCTAGATGACCCCATCCATCTCTTAAGACCGCGGGAGGGTTTTGTTTTATTTTTTTTTAAGAAAAACCATACCCGGCTGCATGGTTTACACATTTTTAGTATCCGAAGTTGGTACAGGGAATATCACTGCACACGTTTCTGTATAAGTACAACACATGAGTCACTACGGTTTAGAGAAGGAGCCAAAATTCAAAAATAGGTGAGTTCTATGAAAAGGAGAGTGACTTCTTGATGGGTGACTTGTGGCTCTCAGATTATAGACTTTCCTTATAATGTTTATCTTGTGCGTGAACTGACTTCGCATAAGTGCAAGGTAATGTTTGGTGGTTGGCTCCAAGCTCACAAGCAAAGGATGGATGTGCCTCTCGATCCCCAAACAACACAGCTTGGGCCGCAGCAGCAGGAACTCCCTGCATGCTGTATGTTGGTCCAGATTTAAACTCTGCCTGGTCTGGAAAGAAGGAGGTGAAGTCAAATTCATCAAACAGATTAAATTTTACAACCATTTGATATGTGAGAAGTATATAAACTGTTGTTCAAAATGACTTTTACATCTGATGTTCCAACACTGTGACCAACACATCTGCCGTATGCAGATCTATGATGCAAGATGATATCGGTGTCTGTTCAATGTCGCAGATTATAGCCGATAACATGATCCGCAACCAGACCTCAAAGTAAGGTCAACGTCTCCTCGCTGATCACGCCCGAGCTTAACCCACAGTCGGGATTTGTTGATTTTCTTTCTCCCCCCCACTGCTTTCTAAGAACGTGCAACACGAAGGAAGTCTCTAATCCACTAATCCATGTCCCTCACAGGTCGAGGAGGCAGAGTGGCAGCGCACGGGGGCACGCTGTCTTCGTTCATCGTGAAGAACATCGCTTTGGATAAAACGGACGACAGTAACCCGCGAGAGGCCATCCTGCGCCACGCCAAGGAGGCGTCGGAGAACCCGTACTGGATCGCCCCGGCTTACGAACAGTAAATTTACGATTCTTCAGCGTTTTACCTCTCAGTCAATCATTAGTGTAACATTCGTCCAATCTTCTGTCCATTAATGTATACACATATATATTCAGTGCATCCATACATCCATCTGTCCATCTACTTGTCATACAGCTATCCATTTTTTTTGTCCATTCACCCATTCTTCTGGTACTGTCTCTTCATCCATCCATCCATTAATTTGTCCATCCATCTCTCTTGCTGTCGCTCCATCTGTTTATCCATCCATCCATCCATCTGGGAACGTTTGGAGAAAAGCCTGGAGAAATGTGTTTCTGTGCAGCATTCTTCTCATTATAACTTCTTAGCCTGAAGCTCATTAAGCCGTATTTGGTGTGTCATTGGTCTGACACTCTGACACTCCAGCATCTGACTTAATTCATTGTTTCACAGCTGGATG